CCACTGACAAAGTTGGGGCAAATCATTCACCTTTCTGGGAAGCTGGTACTAGAAGACTAATATTTAGGCTTCTGTGGTAAGGTATTATGTTACCAATTAAGGCATGATGTTACCAATTCAAAATAAGATACTAGAGTAGCTATATCCTGGCAATTAAAACTCCTATAAGTGGAGCAAAGATGCAGGTATCAAAGACGGCCAGCTTGTAGCTAGAGTGTCATGAGCCCCAGGTACCAGCCTTGTGCTGCTGCTCAACTCTGACTGGCCAGAGCTCTGGACTCAGCCCTGCCTCTGCTTCCTAATTTCTACACACAAATCACAATAGCTTGTCACATTTGTTGAGAGATGGTTGGGAGGATCACAAAAGATCAAAGGGATTAAAGTCCTGTGTACACTCTGCTGTTTCATTTAAATCTAAATTAACCATATGCTATGGTTCAGACAAGTGTCCCTTGAAGGCCCACATGAGGAAGGCTTGGTCCCCAGCCTATAGTGCTATTGGGAGGTGACAGAGCCTTTAGGAGGGGCCTAGTGGGAGGAAGTCAGGTCACTGGAGGCATACTCAAAGAGGATTGCAGGATACTGATCTCTCTCTCTCTTTATTTGCTTCCTGGCTGCCATGAGGTAAGCAGCTTCCTCTGGCATGCACTCCCATCATGAGATACTGCCTTGCCACAGGTCCAGAAGAAATGAGGTCAACCAATCATGAACTAAAATCTCCAAAATTGTGAGCCAAAATAAACCTTTCCCCCTTTCAGTTGATTATCTCAGGTATTTTGTTATAGTAACAGAAATCTAATAGCTAACACACCATATGATTGTTAACAGGAGCATGACCCTAACATTGAGCAAATGTTAACTTTTTAAAATATATATTTTTAGTTGTAAATGGACACAAGATCTTTGTTTATTAATTTACTTTTATGTAGTGCTGAGGATTGAACCCAGTACTTCACATGTATGAGGCAAGCACTCTACCACTGAACTACAGCCCCAGCTCTAAATGTTAACTTTTTAATATGCCCCAATTTCTAAATAATGTAGGAAGATGCATTTTGGAGGTTAAAATTTAAAAAACTGAAGTAGAAATTATTTCTAATTTTAGATTAATGTTTAAAGAGAAAAAAAAACAAAGACTATTTAATGTTCAAAAGCCAGATTCATAGTGGTAACTGAGTATGGGGTAATATCAATATTTCTCAGATATTAAAATAAAATCATTCACTGGCTGGGGTTGTGGCTTAGTGGTAACGCACTACCAAGCATGTGCGAGGCCCTGGGTTCGATCCTCAGCACCACACAAAAATAAATAAATAAATAAAAGGTATTGTATCCAACTACAATTAAAAATAAAAATTTAAAAATAAAATAAAATCATTCACATTCTAGTCCCTATGATTTATGAAAAGCACCAAACTGGTTATTTTAAGAAAACTGACGCAATTAATATAGACATAATTTAGTGCCCTTTCTCCTGGTTTCAAGTCACACAGGTGAGTAGGAATGGGAGGCCTGGGCCAGAGCAGTGCAGGAGCCCAAAGGAGGGCTTCCCTGACATACTGCAGCTGTGCTTGCCCCCATGAGAATGGCAGCACCACTAGAATTCCTAAACTCTGTGCTCAGATTCCCCAGAAATGGAGTGGTCATGAGGTCATTGGCATAGTTCACCCATTAGTGACTGGAAACTGGCTGCTCTGTTAAACCTCTGCAGATTAGAGTCTTCCAGAGGAAGGTGGTAATACTTGAAAGCAAGTCAGAATAAAGGGATAATCTTTGCTTATTAAGAGCTGGAAATAACTGCATATTGTAACCAGAAAATGGCTGTGTGTCATCTCTTCTAAGTCAAAATGCAGGAAATTGAAAATTTCATGTACATAAAAGGCTCCCATTAAACAAATCACCTTTGGTACCATATAATTTTTTTTAACTAAAAGCTAATTTTAAAGAACATATTGATTTAAAAATGGATTTGGATTTCATTTTCTTTATGGGAATAATACCTGGCCTGGCTTACCTATCACAAATTCCAAATTAATGCTGGTTAAATCAACTAGGTTTTAACTAGAGTTGAAAAGGACTTCAAGCAAACAATAGAAAATGGAAATATTTGTGCAAAGCACCCTGCTGATTTTGAAGTAATGTGTCTACCTACCTTATGCTTCCAAGAGAAATAATTACAAATGTTGGCAGTAACAGATACAAATTACATTTAATTATATTTGCCTACCTGTTTTTTGAGTTTGCAGGATTATTTTTGGTAAGTGAATATAAATTTAGAGATGCCAAATGGTAACTATGTTATCTGTTAATTCTAAGTTGAAATTATTGCCTGTGTTCATAATTATCTTTTAAGATTTGATTTGTGAATTTGTTCTTCAACATGTGCATAACATGGCCCACCATCCCTTTTTTGACTTATAGAGACCAAAACAAACAAAAAAGGAAAAGGAAAAACATGTCCCAGCAGCATCAAATTCCTATAATTGTTAGCAATAAAAACAATAATTAAGAGATATAGTTCATAATGATTATCTTGAAATATCTATAAGGTAAAGACATAAGAATTAGGCTCATCGCTCTCATTATCAGATGTCCCTCCTTCTGAAATTTGTTATTAGGATTAATGCTGTGAAGAAGGAGAGTAGAAAGATTAAGTAAAAATCTGTCAAAGTCTAAGGTAGTTTGAATTGGGGATTAATTTTGTCTTTTAATTTTGATTTTTTTTTAATTTGCAGTATTGGGGATTGAACCCAGGGCCTGTGCGTGCAAGGTAAGCACTCCATCACTGAGCTACCCTCCAGTCCAATGGTAATTATTTTTAATAGTATGGATGACATTTCAGTATGTGTGGGAGCTCTTTCTTCTTCACCTTCGCTCATGATTGCACTAAATAACTAAAATTTTTGTGGCAATAGTCTGTCTAGGCTTGTGACCTCTTTCTCCTTTACTGCTCCATGAGATTCATCCCATATCCAGGTTTGGTTAGAATAAAAAATAAAGAATTTCTTTGATGAAAGCCTCATTTTGAACTTGTCAGTCAGTCCATGGGCCTGATAAGACTTCCAGGGGAGTAACATACAGCAATCCTAGAAGCACGCTGTCATTTTGTGGAGTGTGTTTAGGGTATCTCTCTTGAAAGGAGGGACTTTTCCCAAAATGCTAGGGAAGGGATGGTTTTCAGACAGAATTCCTCTTCTAGTTGGTGTCTAATTCTCAGGCCATTGTAAGGAGGTGGAAGAAGTCAACATTTGATGCTCTCCTCTGCTCATTGCTCTACTGGTCTATACTTCAGAGTATCTAGAGCTCTGCTGTTGAGTGACAGGGGCTAGCGATAGACATGGCTACTTAGAGATAAGTGGAAATATAGAAATTAAGTCATTTCTGCAAGGCCAATGAGTTAAGATGAGCATGCCATATCTTTTCCCCTGGGTTACCCAGAATTAAATGAATTTCTGTATTTATTTCCTTTCTGTTACTCATAATCTAGTGGCTCTCAAATTTGGGCAAGCATCAGAATCACCTTGGAGAGCTTTGGAAACCCAAACATCCTGATGGCCAGCTCCAGAGTTTCCGATTCAAGCAGGTCTGCTGAAGGGATCAAGGCCTGGCATGGCTGACCCGTGTTTAGGTGGTAGTGATGCTTCTAGACTGAGAACCACTGTTTCTTGAAATGTGGTCCATGCATCAGAATTACCTTGAGACTTGCTAAAGCACATGTTCATGAGGGAGCAGGGGGTCAGGATGACAAATTTTACCCAGCTCCCAAGTGACTCTCATGAACTCTAAAATTTGAGTCTTACTACCTTTCCCTTAATAAGGACTTATTTTAGGGTTCCATTCAACCAAGATGAGTTATGTCATGAAGTTCTCTGCTCACCTCTAAACTCAGTGGCAAACACAATGCATCTCAAGTGCCAGCCACATTCTGAGACTTCTTCCCTGACTAGCTATGATGTAGGCCATGTGGTGGGAAGGGGCCAGTGGTCACCCATCATTGCTATCCTTGGAGTGAGTGTCAGTGGAGAAAGTGGTCTTTGGAGAACTGATAGAAAACAGCAGGATTAGGAAAAGCTCCAAGGGGAAGGTGACTCTTAGAGAACCCAACTGGGCAGGGTGGTCTAGCTGTCCAGTCTATTAGGAGTTCCTTCCTATGCAGCCCCAGCCTAGAGCTTTTTACACTCTCTCCCTGGGCTATGCTGTTGAGTAAAGGAAGGACTCCACGTAAGCCCTAAATATCTTTGTAGATATTTTAAGAGCTTTCCTAGCTCTCATGAAATCAGATAATAACCACTTTGTGGTCTGCATCATCTAATAATTCCCATTCAACAATTCAAATCATTTAATAAATAACTCCCTTCCACAGTGAAACAGACCTTAAACTTGAGACCAAAACACAACGACTTTTAATGGATTCACATCAGTTTTAAAACCTAAGAAGGTGAAGGCAGGCCTGAGATGCTCATTCTGTGCACAGGCCCACTCTTACACCACACCTGGCCCACAGCCAGACCGCCAGCCAGGGTCACTACAGTGTTGGTCCCTGCTCCACTCTCCCATTTTAGGTGCTTTTAGCTCCACAGTCATGAAAGAAAACTGAGACCATGGTCAAAAGTGTGTTACACACAGGTTCAGCAAAGAAAAATTGGAAACCCTTCATAAGCCAGCCCTCCAAGCAGAATAAATGCCATAACAGAAATTTCTAGACTCTGAAAGATTAGCTTCTGTGGTTGAAATGATAAAAATCGGTGGTGTACTTTCATTTGTGGGTAAATCTGGGTTTCCTGAGTCTCACTGAGTACATTTTTCCAAGCTCAATGTTTTTTTTCCTTACAGCCAACATGCTAGACTCTGGTAAATCTGTTCAGCCGCTCTAACATGTTCTAAAATTATAAACCGGAATCCACACCGTCTTAAAAACCTCACGCTCTGGCTTCACACACCCTCTGCTCCTCATGCATCCGAAATAAGGCAATTGCTTGCAGTCTCCTCTGCTACTTTACCTGAGCTGGTGGAGGCAGGGGATTTGCTGCGCCGGGAAGGTCCTGGGCTCTTGGTGGTGCTCCTGCGGGATGATGAAGCTATTTTGGTGTAAGAAGTGGACTTCACCACACGACATTCTGGGGAAAGAACAACAACCGCACATCAGGATTGGGTCACCACACACATGCCATCTTGAAATACACAATAAGCTTGGATGTAGAAATATACGGCCACTCTCAGTCATACCTCCTGCCAGCCCAGTGCTTGGCCATGCCAATGGAATCAGGAAAACAACCAATAAGAACAAGGTGGACTTCTTAGACATGGAAGTCCATAATACTTCAAACCTCTTGCTTACTCTCTGTATAACAAGATTATGGATTCACTGGAAATAATAGGCTGATAAAGGGGTGCTTTCATTGGGTTTCTCTCCACCCACCTTTGAGCTGTCTGTGTATGTGTATCATTTGTAGAATAAATTATTTACTTTTTTTCTGAGAAAATTTTTAGAAGAAAGCAAAATCTCATAAACTAAGAAATGTGATGGAAGTTTCTACCCTACATGATGGGTCCAAGTTTACTGTTCTGGGGGGGGGGGTTCTCGTAGGATCATGGTGGGTCTTTACCGTGTGTGGGTAACAGCACAGTTGCTCATAGAGGTAGCACTGGAGAACAGGTGCTGTTGTTCTGCTAAAGGAATCATGTGCACCTGTGTCTCCCCATGACGCTGCTACAGAGCTCACTTTTATGTCTATAAAATCATCTTGGACTGAGGACAAGAAACAACTACTTTCATTAGATTTCAATCCTTGGTGTTTGTGTTCACCAAATTCAATGCTAAGTATCCTGAATAGCAAAGAACTTTGTATTTCTCTCTTAGTACAATTCACTGATAAACTTTGCTGTATAAATCCAGGCATCTTATTCTCAATAAATCACTTAATAATTAAAAATATTTATTAGCTTATAATGATAATCGATGTTCACTATAGACTGAAAAATACCAAGGATATTTTAGAAAACACTCCAAATACTCCATAATTGAGTAATACTCTTTTGCAGGAGGGGAGTATAAAAACCATGAGAAAATTTCCTACTCGTTTGTATATTTAAACAATATTGGAATTAATCTGTACACATTCATCTCTCACCAGCCCTTTTTCATATTACAATATCTTGTGAACATTGTCACTCTGTCATTTAATGACTGCCAAGCATTTCATTGCCTGGGGTACCATAATTAACCAAATTGCTACCATTGGACATTTAACCTTCTTACAATATTTACTATCATAATTACTCAGTAACACTCTTTATATATGAATGGGCAGTTAATTGATTATTTCCTTAGGATAGATTTGGTTCCCTGATATTTGTAACTAGAAACGAAGGGCACATTATAGGTGCTCAAAAACATCTGCTGAATGCTGTAGGTTCGGTGGGCTGAAAGAGAAGCACTTCTTAAAAGCTCTTTACAAATTACCTCTAGAAAGTACTTGATCCAAATCATACTTTCACTACAGCATGAATGACCACTTGTCTGACTCCTCACTGATGTTAGGTGCTATCTTTCTAAAGAAAATTTGTGTGTGTGTGTGTGTGTGTGAATTTTTAAACAAATATAAACCTTCATTGCTTGAAATCTGAATTGGTTTGATTGCCAGTAATATTGTACATTTTTTCCCACATGCATATTAGCCATTCGTATTTCTTATTTTTTGCAATTACTTATCCATGTTCTTTGTGCATTTGCAGTTGAGATGTTCTTTTTTTCTAATTGGTTCATAAGAATGTGTTCTACATTAAAATTTTATCCCTTAGTCTATTATGTTATAAATATTTATCTTTGTAGGTAGTTGTTGAAACATGCTAGCCTTTTGAACGTGGTATTCTTTTTAAGTATAGCAGTTTAAAACTATAGTTTATTAACTTTTCCATTGTGCATTTTTAACCATTTTATGTTTTAGTAACCAAGGACTCTCAATTCCCAATCCAATGCTGATGTCCGACTTCATCTTTGAAGTCCATGCAATTTTTCATTTTCTAAGTTCAAAAAATGTTTCTTTTCCTTATCCACGCTGTTGAATAAAATAGTTCATATTGTTTAATAAAAAAAGAATGGAAGACTTGAATAGGAGATAGGACAAAGAGAAAAAGCCCCATGAATTGAATTGACTGGGGCAAAAAGAAGAGGAAGAATTTCATGAAGGAGGTGGAGGAAAAAAGAGGGAAAAGGCAAATTCTGTCTTTAGATTTTAGTATTTGTGGTTTCCTCTGCTTTTCCTCATAGCCAAAAGCAGGGAAAAATAAACTAGGGCATTACCACACTTACCCAGATCCTCAACAGTCATTTGGGCCACGGTGGCCATTTTGGCCCACCCAGGTAGCCTTGCCAGGAGATTTCATTTCTTAAAGAATAAGAAGGAACATATGGTGGATCCATTTCTAGTTTTTCGAGGAATCTCCATACTGCTTTCCAGAGTGGTTGTAACTAGTTAATCTGCAGTCCCACCAGCAATGTTTGAGTGCACCTTTCTGCTCACATCCTCACCAGCATTTATTACTGTTTGTGTTCTTGAAAATTGTCCTTCTCACTGGAGCTAGATAAAATCTTAGTGGAGTTTTGCTAGATTTCCCTAATTGCTAGAGACGTTGAACATTTTATCATATAGTTGCTGACCATTTGTTTTTCTTCTTTTGAGAAATGTTATCCAAGAGAACTAAACTCAGTATTCTATAGGGATAGAGCCATCTCAATGTGTATAGCAGCACAATTCACAACAGCCAAACTATAATCAACTCAGATGCCCACCAACAGATGAAGGGATTAAGAATTCTTAAACAACAGAGTTTAATTTAGCCACAAAGAAGAATGAAATTATGGCATTTACCGGTAAATGGATGGAAATGGGAACATAATGCTACGTAAAAAAAACCGAGTCTCAGAAAATCAAGGTCAAATGTTTTCTCTCATGTGGAATCTGGAGCAAAATAAAGGATAGAAGGAGAGGGAGTCATATCATAAAGATCTAAGAAAAATCAGTAAAGTAGAAGGAGACTGAGAGCAAGAGAGGAGGGCTGGAAAAGGGGAGGAAATGAGAAATGAATTTTTAAATATCATGTTATGTGCATATATAAATATACCACAAGGAATTTAACCTTCATATATAATTAGAAAGAACCAATAAAAATAAATAAATAGATGAGCGAAAAGAAGATCAGTAGAGCAGAGGAAGTAGAATGAGAGAAGGGAGAAGGGGAGGGAAAAGTGGAGGGACATGAAATAAAATCCAATTCCATGCATGTTCAAATTTATTGAGATGAACCAAACGACTACATATAACTATAACACTGCAAAAAAAAAAAAAAAAAAAAGGAGAAGAAAAGTCACATACAGGGGCATATTGGCAAAAATTTAAAGATGAATAGCCAAGAACAGAATTAATAATGCAGAAGGTATGATCAGAAACCCCAGGACCATCCACATGGCACAATAATGCCTACAGATGTGTCCATGGAGATTTTAATTCAGAAAGCAGAGCTCTGGAACATATGAAGGTGACCTTGAATTACCTCAAGACACTGTCCTCACAATTGACAAGACATCCTGGGGATTGTGCAACATTCTGGATATTTGACCAGCCTTTTGGCATTATGTTAAAAACCAAACTGAATGGCCGTAATGGGGCCCATCCATGGGCATGCTGCTGGTTACATTTTCATCAAATGCCCACCATGTGCCAGGCACTGAGAGCTGCAGGCAGATGCAGAACAATTCAAAATTGGAACCTGAAACATACACCACCTGGTAGTGGTGCACAGAGTCTCTCTGGGTGGGTGTGAGTGCCAGCAAGCCCTCTTTTTTGCTAATTTTTATTTCATAAACCTCGCATTTGAAAAATGTTGGTAGTGTAATGAATGGTTCTTAAGTAACAATATAGTTTCTCATATTAAATAAAAATGAAGACAATAACAAGGGCAAGATGACCAGAAGATTTTGTCTCAGGTCACGGATATTTAGAGGTCACATAAATTTAAAATAATAATTTAAAAAGACCAGTGTCTGGTTAGTGGGAATGAGTAGTTAAAACAGAAAGGTACCAGATGGTGCCCATTGTTAATAACAGTCATCTCTGGACTGCAACATGAGTTAAGAAGTTGATTTTAGGGTTTATCTCATAGTCACAGGTACCAGATTGCTAGTTACAGCCAGGGCTCTAGATCAGCATAGTAGAACCAATCTTGCCACACGAAGTTAGTATTTTCTAACTACCAGAAGGATACTAGTAATTGTAGTCAGGAAGCTCAGGCTTAGCAGAGCAAATGTAGGTATTTCATTAGATTTCTGAAGGATTGAAAAGGACTTGGGGGCTCATGTCATGCCTCTATTACAACCGTGGCTTCTTTTGAACTTAGTTCTCATCATACTATTAATCGATCATCATTACTCATTTATTAGTCTGCCTCCCACTCCCTCTGTCTATAAGGTACCAACTAGTGCCTGGAATATTAACAAGTTTGGGACAGCTGCTCAGTAAATGCTGGTCTGAATTGCTATTGGCCCTCTTACTATGTGTGAACTCTTGAGCATTCACTGAACGAATCCAATCTTTCACTTTAATGATGAGGAAACTGAGTCTCAGAAAGGCTAAATGAGTGCATCAGAATCTATGTCCCATGAGCTGGTGGCTTTCTCCTTACCCCAACAGCTGAGGTTGTGGCCTAAACATGCTGTTCCATGTGAATAAAGTCTGAGACATTTCTATCAGTGTTCATGGTCAGAGGCCGAGGAGTGGGTGGTGGTGGACCACGGCGAGGATGGCAAACATCGATTTCTCATATCAATAGTCAATTAAAAATGAAAGATGCTGAAACTAAACTTTCTATCAAGATGTCCATTGGATCAGAGAAAAAGAAACAATGAACACTCTTTCAGAAGTGGAGTTATAATGAAGTAATCACTTGGGGGATCATGGAGTCTGAAAGATAATTACCAATATTACAAATCTTGTACCACTTGCCTTCAGGGTAAGAGTGAGGCTTCATGATTCATATTAGGGATTAGTAAAATTCTGAAAGTCTTGGGATGAATAACAGCAGCAGAAACAATACAGAATTATAGTAACCACTGTTTCCC